CTAGCCTTGAGCTGAAGAGCTGAGGGACAGCGCCCAGGCCCAGAGTTCAGGCCCCACGACCGGACCCCCCCCCAAAACAGAAAAATAAGGAGAGTACACAGAGAGGGGTAGGGGAAACTCATAGCACATCAAGAACAGTCAAAGGAATTTTCCCTTCTATAGATGTTTAAACATCATTGTCCACTGAGGGACAATGATCCAGTAATACAAGTGACAGACTAGGAAACAAGCTGCTCTTACACTAACAGACAGAAACAATTAAAGCACCGAACTAAATCTATGCACCCCTTCACACTCCAGGTGTGTAAAACTAAGAGCCCAAAACACATTGTATTAGAGGAAATAATGTGAGGTTAGAATAAGGTGAATTTATGAAGGGTAGCAGTTCGCACAGAAACTGAAATTATGTGGTATTAAACCATAGGCAACTCAAAGAAAGGCTTACTAACATTTACTTTTGTGTCACTCACTAAAAGGTTTTTCTATATAAACTTATTAACTTATACACACAATAACCTCCTAATATTTTCCATAACAATGATTTAGACACTGGAAAATGCGATACATGTTAAGGACAATTACAACGCTTACTATCATTTTCTCTGTCACCTTAATTTCTATTGTAAAATTTACTTACATTTTTGTGCCGGAAGACTACAATCAATGCACCAAACATCTATCTATCCAGTCATCACTTCGGAGCAAAAACTAAAACCACCGTTCATTACAAAAGGGTAACTTGCAAACATCAGATATTGGTTAAAATACTACAACCAGCTCTCGCTCCTGTCAAACTCTTTAAAAAAAAAACATTCACTGGAAATATTCTTTGCATCTTGCAAATTACTACTACTAGGGAAAAGTAGAGAGTAAGGAGAGGGAACTAACTTTCTGACCTCTTTTTCAACATGACAAAATTAGAACGGCAAAATTACACTCAGGCACATGGAGTACTCTTCTCTCAAATCACTCCAGAGAACTTCATCATTTGCTCCGCCCTCTAATAACTCATGCAAAAAAAGTTCAGCGCCGTCGGAGAGAAACAAGACCGAGCGCATTCACAGCAATGGCTCAGGGCCTTTCCTCCAGGCGGTAAGATCGGCGTGTGCCCTTCTCCGGGGTCCAAAGAGATGGAAAAAACACAGGCCTAAGATTTGGGGGGGGGGTCCACCGATGCCCAGAAACAGGTTTCTCTCAGAGAAGTTTCGACCGCCATCCTTATTTTATCAGAACGCTCGGGCGCCATGGTCTCGGTCTTGATGGTTTTATTATGGGAAGGTGGGAAACGCCAGGCAGGTTTCCTCTAGGCCTTTCCCCGTCAAGCCTGGGGGTTCCCCCTTCATTCTTCTCGTAAAGCCTCCGTCTCCCTACGGTGCTCCTGGGCACCCGCGTTTTCCGAGATCTGTCGTCTCCCCCCCGCTCCTCTCTCCCCGGGTTGTGCAAAAGGCGCTGCCCAACCCACCGGGCTCGCCGTTAAAGCGGGAGAGCCCGGACACGCGAGGGCCCCCGCCGAGGCTCCGAGGGGCCCAGGAAGCAGAAGGGCAGGCCAGGGACGGGGGGAGGGGGCTGACCTGGCCGGGGAAGCAAGAGGGGTGAGGGCTCACACGCACACCCGCTTCTCGGGGGGCTGCAGGGAGAAGAGAAGGTGATGGAGGAGGGCGGTGGCCGGGTGCGGCCCCCCACTCCTCCCGCCCCCGGGTCCCCCCGGCCGGCGGGAGCGGGCGGGCCCGGCCCATCCCCGGGTCCGGGCTGGCAGGGGGCGTGGGGGATCTGCCTCTAAACTGCCAGGAGACCGAGAACGAGGAACCAGGGGACTCGGGGGCGGGGAGGGCTGCCTCCCGCCTGAACCCCAGACCCCGACGTCGTCGTCGCCTCCTCCCCGGAGGGAGGACGGGAGCGGTGGGGAAAGCCCGAGGGATGAAAGCGTGAAGGTAAGAGGAAGCCGGGACAGCCCGGCCGACCCAGCCCTGACCCCACTGTCCATCTTCCGGTAACCGCGTCTCTTACCGGTGATGGCGGTGAACTGCTGAATTAACCCCTTCAGCGCCGACGACGCTGCGGAGCCCCCGTGGGCAGCCATCTTACCGCCGCCGCCGCTGCCGCTGCCGCCGCCGCCGCCGAACAACAACACAGACACACACGGACCGCCCTCCCCCACTTCGCCGCGCCGTCTGCGCAGGCGCCTTGGCCGCCCCAGGCTCCACCCCCTCCGCACGTCCTCTGCGCAGACGCACTGCCCCCAGGTCGGAGCGCTCGCTCAGCCGCCAGGGTTTGGTGGCCGGGTGGCTACCTGCGCGCCGCATCCTTCTGGCAAGCTTGGAAGCCCGCTTCTTAGACCCAGGATTGATTCCAAAGGAAGCTTCAGGCCCGGCAAGTTGTAGGCTCTTTGCATAACGGCTTCACTGACAATCTCTACTGTCAATTATTATTTTTACCTTTTCCCCGCTAGATCCGCCGCACTTTGCATGGATTCCATCAGCTCCCATTTAAATACAAATCCTACATGCCAGGTGCCAGCGGCTCTCTCCTGGAATCTCCGTAATTCAGGAGGCTGAGATCTTAGGATCCCGGTTCAAAGCCAGCCCTGGCAGGAAAGGCCATGAGACTCGTATCTCCAGTTGACCACCAGAAAACCAGAAGCGGCTCTCTGGCTCAAAGTGGTAGAGCCCTAGCCTTGAGCAAAAGAGCTCAGGGACAGCACCCTGGCTCAATTTTAAGCCCCACAACTAACAACAACAGCAACAACAACAACAAAAAAAAAAACACGGGGTTATTAATAAAGACCATGAAGTGAACCTGGGGTGGTGGTACACACATGCGTATAGTGTTTGGGGGTTGGAAGCAGTGGAAATTGGGTTTTAAACCAGCCTAGGCTACAGAGTGAAACAAACAAAAAAAAAGTGATCCGGGCACCCGGGGCTCACGCCTGTAATCCTAGCTACTCAGGAGGCTGAGCTCTGAGGATCACGGTTCAAAGCCAGCCTGGGCAGGAAAGTCCATGAGAGTCTTATCTCCAATAAAAACCACTAGGAAATCGGAAGTGCCACTGTGGCTCAATTGAGTGGTAGAGCACTCACCTTGAGTTGAAGAGCTGAGGGACAACACCCAAACCCAGAGTTCAAGCCCCACGACCAACCAAAAAAAAAAAAAGTTTTTAGAATTACAAGAAAATATAAAGTCTACTCCTAAAATCATAGGAAATATGAAATTTTTTGGTTTTTGGTTTTTTGTTTTATTTCTTTGCAAAGCCTTATATCTGCTAGGCAGGTGCTCTAACTACACCTCCAGTATGAGAAACCTGTTTAAAAAAATAAAAACAAATAGAGGGGAAAACCATGGCTTTTCCTCAGAAAAGAAATTAAACTCTCAGGGTGCTGGTAACTCACATCTATAGTCCTAGCTGCTGAGATCTGAGGATTGTGGTTTCAAGCCGTCCTGGGCAGGAAAGTCTCTGAGAGACTCATCTCCAATGAACTACTCAAAAACCAGAAGGTGGGCTGGGAAGGTGGCTCAGTGGTAGAGTGCTTGCCTTGTATGCCTGAGGCCCTGGGTTCGATTCCTCAGCACCACATAAGCAAAAAGAAAAAAGCTGGAAATGGCGCTGTGGCTCAAGTGTTAGAGCACTAGCCTTGAGCTGAAGAGCTGAGGGACAGTGCCCAGGCCCAGAGTTCAGGCCCCACGACCAGCCCCCCCCCCCAAAAAAAAACAGAAGGTGCTGTGGCTCAAAGTGGTAGAGCGCTACCTTGAGCAAAAGAACTTAGGGACAGCGCGCAGGCCCTGGTTCAAGCCCCACAACCGACCCCTCCCCCCCAAAAAAAACAACAGTTGTATAAATTTAAGGAGGCCTAAGAGAAGTAACAAAGGTGTATGGGGTAAACCTTTCATTTCTTTGAAAGCTGGAATATCTGTTTTAATTTCAGACAAAATAGATTTTCCATATGAAGAAAAAAATCCTCTTGTTTCCATTTCCTGGAGACAAAATAGATTTTAAAGCAAAATGTAGCTGGGCATTGGTGGCTAACTAATCCTAGCTAATCAAGAATTTGAGAGCTGAGGATTGTGGTTCAAGGCAGCCCATGAAGATATGTCCCTGAGACTCTTATCTCTAAATAACCAGCAAAAAGTGGAAAGAGAAGATTTGGCTCAACTTTGAGCAACAAAGCCAAGTGATAGTGGGAAGCCATGAATTAAAGTCCCAGTTGGGGGCCATTAATTGAAGCCCCACTAGTAACTGGACAAAGAGAGAGACAGAGACAGAGAGAAATTTGGCAAATATATATATATATATATATATATACGCATCCTCTTTGTCTTAGATAAAACTATAGAAGATATTGGTTATATTCAAACACACATGAAAAATAAATTTTGACCATAGAAAGTCTACAAAGAAAGCTTCAATAAATGTTAAAGAATCAGCTGGGCACTGGTGGCTCACACCTGTAATCCTAGCTACTCAGGAGGCTGAGATCTGAGGATTGAGGTTCAAAGCCAGCCTGGACAGGAAAGTCACTGAGACTCTTTTTTTGTTTTTTTGGTCTTTTCTTTTTTGGTACTGGGGATTGAACCCAGGACATGGCACTTGCTAGGCAAGCGCTTTGCCACTGAGCCACATCCCAGCCCAGTCCTGAGACTCTTATCTCCAATTAACAACTAGAAAACCAGAAGTGGTGCTGTGGCTCAAGTGATAGAGCGCATACCTTGATCTGAAGAGCTCAGGACAGCACCCAGGCCCAGAGTTCAAGCCCCAGGACCAAAAAAAAAAAAAAAAAAAGCAGCCCTGTAATCCTAGCTACTCAGGAGGCTGAGATCTGAGGATTGAGGTTCAAAGCCATCCTGGGCAGGAAAGGCCATGAGACTCTTATCTCAATAAACCACCAGAAAAATGGAAGTGGCACTGTGGCTCAAGTGGTAGAACTGTAGCCTTGAGCTGAAGAGCTGAGGGACAGTGCCCAGGCTCAGAGGTCAAGCCCCACTACCAGCAAAAAAAAAAAAAAAGAATCATTATAGCTGTGTGTGCTGATCATGGGCACATGCGTATGATGCTGGCACTGGGGAGGTAGAAACAGGAAGATCTTGCGTTGGAGCTAATGATAAACCATCCCAAGAAATTAAAAAAGAAATATCATTATGCAGAATGTTTTCTAAATATAGATCAGTTAAGATGGAAATTAATTTTTAAAAGAATACCTTTAAAAAATTTGCGCCATCCACAGTGACTCATTTTTGTAATCCCAGCTACTTGGGAGGATAAAGGTTAGCCAGACTCCATCTCAACTAACATGTGGGCATATGGTTCCTAGCTCTAATTCCAGCTACTCAGAAAAGGAAGTAGGAAGGAAGATCCCCATCAAAGGCCAGCATGAGCAATAAGGAGAGACCCTATCTGAAAAACAGCTACATAAAAATGGGTTTGGGGTATGGATCAAGCTATAGAGCATTTACTGCAACAATCCCTGAATTTCAACCTCAATACTCTATCCATCTGTTTATTGAAACTTACTTCTAAATAACTCATGGACCAAAAACAATGTATACTTAGGGTCCCAACAGATGAGTCATTTCAGTAATATTTATTTATCTACTTATTTATAAATAAGTACCTATAAATAGGTACCGGTGCTTTAACTCCAGAACTGATGCTAAGATTTTTCACTTAATGCTGGCACTCTTAACATTTAAGCTACAGCTCCACTTCACTTTTTCTGGTTAATTAGAGATAAGAGTTTCATTGAACCCGTGCTGGTGGCTCATGCCTGTATCCTAGCTACTCAGGATTGTGATTCTAAGCCAGCCTGGGCAGAAAAGTCCTTGTGAGACTCTTATCTCCAATAAGCGACTTGAAAAAGCCAAAAGTGGAGCTGGCTGAAGTGATAATGCGCTAGCCTTGAGCACAGAGAGGCGCAGGGACAGTACCCAGGCCCAGAATTCAAGCCCCAGGACTGGCAAGAGACAGGGAGAGAAGGAGGAAGAGGGGAGAGACAGACAGAAAGAGAGAGAGAGAGAGAGAAAGAGAGAGAGCACACTTCATTGATTTTTCTACCAGGACTGGTTTTGAACTGTGATCCTCAAATCTTAGCCTCCTGAGTACCTAGAATTACAGGTGTGAGCCACCAGAGCCTACTCAATGAAACTCTTATCTCTAATTAACCAGAAAAAGCAAAGAGGAACAGTAGTTTAAATGGTAGAGTGCCAACATTAAGCAAGAAATCTTAGCATTTGTTCTGTCTCTGAGTACCTAGGATTACAGGCATATGCCACCGGCAGCCAGCATCTGGCACTGGTTTTTAATTGAAGTATAAGAGTCTTGGAGCTGGGCATTGGTGGCTCATACCTATAATCCTAGCTACTCAGGAGGCTGAGATCTGAGATCTCGGTTCAAAGCCAGTCTGGGCAGGAAGGTCCGTGAAACTCATATCTCCAATAAACTACTAGAAAACTGGAAGTGGTGCTGTGGCTCAAGTGGTAGAGCGCTTGCCTTAAGCTGAAGAGCTGAGGGACAGCGCCCAGACCTGGAGTTCAAGCCCCACGACCAACAACAACAACAAAAAAGTCTTGGAGCCTGGAGTCCCTCTGTCCCCAGGCTAGATGAGTTTTTTTTTTTTTTCTCTTTTGTCGGTGTGGGGTTTGAACTCTGGGCCTGGGCACTAACCCTGAGCTCTTCAACTCAAGGTGAGTACTCTACCACTTGAGCCACAGCGCCACTTCTGGTTTTCTAGTGGTTTATTGGAGATAAGAGTCTCACGGAGTTTTCTGCCTAGGCTGGCTTTGAACTGCAATCCTCAGATCTCAGCCTCCTGAGTACCTAGGATTACAGGCTTGAGCCACCAGTGCCCCACTTAGTTGAGGTTTATTGAATTACATTTGACCTCCAGGCCGAAGTTTCCTAGTCTGGATGGGTAAGTAAAAAATTTGTTTTGTTTTGTTTTTCACTCAAAAAAAATTTTTTTATTGTAATGATACAGTTACATGAGTAAGGTAATGAGTATACTTCCTATTGAGCATTGTTACCCCCTCCATTTTTTTCCCCCTACCATCCCTTCCCTCCCTACCTTCCCCGAGGTTCTTTTTTTTTTTAATCGTGATTAAGTGATACATAATTTCCCAAATTTCACAGTAT